GATGACCTGACTGAAAAATGTTGGATTTTATACCTGGATTATTGAGCATGGACTTTGTTCTCAGTCTTGTCTGTGTTCAAAATCAGAAAATTTTGGTTCATCCAAGTTTTTATGTCTTTAAGACATGCTTGCAGTCTAAGTAGCTGATTGGATTCAGTGGGTTTCATGGACAAATATAACTGTGTATCATCAGCATAACAATGAAAATGTTTCCCATGCTGTTTAATAACTTTACCCAATTCAATTCATCCATCCATCCATCCATTATCTTTACCCGCTTATTCCAAAAAATACTTTATTAATCTCAAAGGGAAATTAAATGTTGTTGTAACTCATCATCCTGATTGGAAGCATATACTGTATAAGGTAGAGAGTATTAGTCCAAGCACTGAACCCTGAGGAACTCCATGACTAAGATTCTTTATTTACATTTACAAATTGGAATCTATCAAATAAGTATGACAGGTGATGATTAACCAACTGGACATTGTGGTGCTTGGTAAGCTACAAAATAAGGCAGTGGTGAAAGATGTAACAGTCCCAAGAGGAATCATCAAGAAGGAGCAGATGGAGAAAAACCAAGGGCTGAAAGAGGAACAATATATGAAGTTGTGGAAAGTCACAGCGTCAGTAGTCCCAGTGGTCACTGGAGCACTCTGTGCTGTGACCCGTAAACTGGAAGAGTGGCTCCAACAGATCCCAGGAATAACTGGGATCAGAACAGCTTTAAATGAAAACTTGAATAATGCAGTTTCATTCAAAATAGTTGTAAATGTGAAGACTTTAAGATTGTTTGCCAATAAAATGGAAAATCTACTTGTTATGAAGACAACAACACAAAACACTAGTGTAATGGTCAGTGAAGGTTACACAACACTATTCATTCATTCATTCAACCTTTATTTGTACAGGTTAATTCCATTGATCCTCTGGGACTCATTTACAAGAGGGACAAAGAGTGATGACAACAGTAGACAATCATAAAGGATGTGTACAAACTGAGAATAACAAGTGAAAATAAAATTGTAACAAAAAACAACTAGATTGTAAGGCAATATAGAAAGCTAAAAACAGGAACATGTCTGTGTTGGTTGTTCTCTGGAACTTATCAGATGTTTGAAGACACTTAGAGAGGTCAAAGGTCGAGAGCTTCAGGTCTTTTTACAAGATATTCCAGGAAACAGGAGCGGAGTAGGAGAAGGTCCTTTTGTCTAGTTCAGTCCTCACTGAGGGAACACTGCAGGTAATGATGTCCTGAGAGCGCACGCTGTAGCTGCACTCACACAGAGACATGTAGGAGGAGATGTATGAAGGCAGCAGACCAAGAAGTGATTTAAAGATGAAAATGTACCAGTGAGAGAGTCTGCGTGAAGTTAATGGTGACCAGTTAACCAGTGAATACTGGGTGCAGTGGTGGGTACGGTAGTTACAGCCAGTTATGAATCTTAGTGCACCATGATAGACAGCATCCAACATCTGCAGCATCCAACATCTGCAGCATCCAACATCTGCAGGGTGCTTGTAGGAGCGTTCATGTAAATAATGTCACCGTAATCAATGGAGGGAAGGAAAGTCACAGATACATTGGCTTGCTCTTACAATATTTTTAGATATAGGACCTTAATTTGTAACAATACACCTGTGCAATGCTGTGTCCGAAATTGATCAAAATATTAAATGCAACAGTAAAGCTACTTTAATTGTCCTAGTTGTGGAATGGGCTGAAAAGCCTGAACACCAAAACCAGCAGAAACAGCTTTTGTGCTTGTTAAGGCCAATAAGTAAAAGAAGAATGCAGGCGAAGCGCCTTAAAGCTATAAAACTGTGTGTGTATTTAACCAAAACAAAAAAAGATGTTCTGTGAACCTGCGTGTTAGGACACCGAAACCCGAGCCAGCATCTCGTGACTTTTCCGCGCGTACACGTGCGCGTGCGGAAACGTCAGTACTCCCCACTGACGACGGGGCAGAAGCAGCCAATCAAAACGCTCGGCGGATGCGGATTGACCAATGGCAGCCGCGGAGGGCGGTGACGTCAGCGGGGCTAGCATACCAGAGCTGTGTGGCTGAAAACTTGTGGCAGCTAGCGAAAAAAGAAACCGTCAGAAGAGAAGATGGCGAGAGGCTGTCGGAACCTGCGGAGAATAGCGGAGTACCTGAAACCGTTGCCGAGTCCAGCGAGCCGAGAAATACAGAGCAGGAGCAGCGTCAGGTGAATAAAAAAGCGCCTTTTGAATGTGGACTCAGTGTGGAGGATGTGGGAGAGGAACACCCCGGGCGGCAACAACACAGGGCTCGAGGAGTCTTACCGAAGATACTTCGCTAAGTTAGCGGACAAATCGCTTGTTTTAGCGGCACTTGAATATGCCTGTGTTAAACGTTCACCCCATTAACTGTCTAAACCTTTGACTGACTGATGGCAAAGAAAAGCTACATTCACGGAAAACGAGTAACAGGGGCGTAGCTAGATGTGAAGATCGGGGCAGAGCCTCCATTACACCCATTATAACGGTTGCTCAGCCGCAGTTTACACCGAGTCCTGAGGTTTTGTGCTACTTTGTTTATATTTGTAAGCGTATCTGTGTTCATTTACTGTTGTTGACGTGGTTAAACCAGTCGTTAAACTTCCTGAAAATTACAGTTTCAAACATTGAGCGACATGAAACAATGAATAAACCACTCTCGTTAGCAACGTTACAAAAAACTAAGTTACCAAATTGGATTAATACTAAATTGAATGGAGTCAGCCTAAAATACAAATAAAATAATGCCATTTTTTTGTAACATGGCGCAGAGGTTAGGGAAGGTGGGCCTGTGATTGGAAGGTCGCCGGTTCGACTACTCGTACTGACAACATAAAAAAATGTGTGTGGGAAAGGTGAGGCACCCACACCTGTCTCCACCCTCGTTAGCTCCCTTAACCCCCATCATCTGCTCCCCGGATGTCCTAGATAGCAGCTCTCTGCACCACACAGAAGGCTGTGGTAGCGTCAGGAAGGACATCCGGCATGAAAACAATCCAAGTCATGGTGCGAGATAGTTCGCTGTGGCAACCCCTAAAGAAGGAAAAAAGTGTTGCGTTGTCGTCATCACAACGACGAACTAGTTCTCTGCATCACTAATTTTGTGATTGTATGGGAACATAGAATGACGACAACACATCGCACTTTACTTTAACACATCACACGTGACACCCAGGTGGAGCAGTGGACAGCTACGTAAGCGCCCGGGGAGCAATTAGGGATTACGGTACATGTCTTGCTCAAGGACACCACGACATATGGGCACGGTGGGGAGTTGAACCTGTGACTTCCTGGTCTCAAGTCAGCTGCCCTACCTCTACACCATCTTGGCCCCAATTAATTGTGTAATAAGAAAGGTGTGTGATTGTAGAGGAATAAAAAAAAAAACAATTCTGGGGCTTCAAAAACCAGTTTGGGTCAACAGATGGTCATGGAAGTTGCTCAGAATTGTTCTCAATAACTGACTTAGGACCATTCTTTTGTTTTGTTGATTATTTTGCATTGGATCACCGAATGTTAAACTCATTGATTAGCTTTATATTGTGAATAAAGGATGAGTATTGCATCCTTATTGAGCTGTGCCGCACGTGTACAGTCAAATTGTTTGTAGTGTTTGGAGATGCGTATCGTATCGGCCACAGACCAGAGATGCACACGACTGATCTTTACCGTTGATGTGAAGTGATATGATTGTGTGGACGCAAGGCTGAAACTTTTGATTCCATCATAATATGGGCTTTGGTTTAATTAGTGATGCTAATGTTCCTAATGTGTTTTGGATTAATTACTGTGGGTCATCTCAGTATGTCCGAGTGGTGAAGTGAGTGCAGCTCTTTTACTGCTCGTTTTACCGTTGCTGTTTGTTTTGCACTTTGCTACAGCTTTTCTGTAATCGTTAGAGATTACATGAGAACAATCACCATCACTTATTTGATAATAATTTAAAGCACATTGGAGTAAATGTATTAACCGTTACATGTTTACTACGGTGGAAGTATAAAAGTGGGTCACACATGTTTCCTGTCATGGTTGTGTGAACTTTAAAAACATTAGTTTAACTGAGGCTCTTCATCTGACGTCCACAGGGACTGGCTGTTTGACAATATGCATCAGTCTGAGTTGCATACAACAATCGTTACCTTTTATTTTTTAAATTAATCGATGCACAACCACTTGTAAAAATCAGGTTTGTGTCTGATGCATTTAAATGTTGGTTTTTAGCAACTAATATATTATTTAATATATGTAAAAACCACGTCAACATCTTCTGGCCCATTAAAATCTCAAAGAGGCTGGCCCTCCGAGGTTTGGGACCACTTCCTTAGATCAAATCCATATACTAACAAATATGACATTCCTTTCTTTAAAGTGGACTTTTTATGTGCACTCTGCGATTGTGCCCACAGTCTCCATGTTGTGGGAATCGTATGGCCCTTTGCCCCATTTAAAGTGGGTGGTTCTCACATCTTCACCTTCTCAACTCCTGCTGGCAGGTTTTTCTTCTGTTCTGTGTGATTTTAGCTGCATGAAGCCAGAACAAAGCACCACTTGTATCATGTTTCAGGTTCCAGTGACTTATCGGCCAGAAATGAAGTCAGAGCTCCATTAAGCACGGAGTCGAGCTGATTATAACATAATAATGTCACATCTGATGAGTTTATATCAGTGTAGCTGTTGACCCATTCTGTAAGTTATCTGCAGGAATGTGCAGGTGTTAAAGCTAATATGTTGCTTCAGTTCCTTTGGGGATATTATGTGGACCGGGCTTTGAATTTTCATGTGGTTTTGTGGTATTTTAGTCTCTGAATTGTGTTCAGTTAGTGTTTTTTATGTCCCTTTGGGTTTGTTACTGCTCGCTTCAAAAGACTAATGTTATTGCTCTTGAGTGTTTTTCTGCTAGCAAAATATCTCATAAACCACTGGACAGATTTGACACAAACTTACAGAATTACTCACTGGATGTGTATCTACAAATGACAACATTCCAACTCACTCCCATTTGAGACGATCGCTTCAGTGAATGAACATTACTCAACCCAAAAATGGTTGGAACAGTCAGTTTTACAGATACTGAGCTATTGCATGATATTCTGCTTAATGACATTCACAAGAGTTGACCAAAGTGGCTAGAACATCTAATCATAACCTGATCTTAGTTTAAACTCTGTCATAAAAAGCAGCGGTCACTATACATTCTTTCAACGAGTGCTAGCTCGTTAAGTGACAGTTTGGATACGTCAGTGCCGGGATAAGCTAAAGAAATTGAAATCCAGTTGGAGCGATTAAGGACCACAACGGGCGGAGTGGCTCAGATACAATAACTTATTACGATCTCGCCCACTTAGCATTGACCATCCTGCCCACAGAGTGGGAAAGCATGTCAGTGGCAAATCACCTCCACCTGAGAAGAACTGCTACGACGAGGGGCCGAGTGGAGTCACACCTATCGATGGCAAAGTGGCCATTGCTGAACTGGGAGCTTCACTTGGGGGAGACGACCAGACACGTCGAGCCAGTAAAAGAGTCAGACACAGCTCTCAGCTGTGGTCAGTGATGGGCGCCCCCTCCCCCCAAGCTTCTGCTGTCACATGTAGCGTGACCTGGCTTATGTTACACATTCATGGCTGCAGTAAAGGCTTACATGTCAGTTTGTACCCACTCAGACTTCATAGAGTCCCCATTCATGGTGTCAGGAGGGATTTGAGCCAGGCCTTTGAACCTGATCCCGGTGACGCAGGGGTCACTTGATTTAATATCATTAATGGATCTCAGTCAGCTGTGACGGTTGGATCTAGTCTCTGACTCAGAATTGCAAAAAAAAAAAGAGCATTTTTAATTGCTGTCTGTTTGTGACCAGCAAGCTGTGTCTGTGTCTGAAGCAGCTACGTTTTATAAATCACTGATTATTTTTATATGCAGGTTTGCATATCTGTATTTTAGGCCATGGACATTATTTTGTTGTCCACATTGAACCCACGTCGGCAGCTGCCCCCACGTTTATGAGTTAATTTAATAAAGCTAGGGCTGAAACTAATGAATACTTTGGTGTAAGATTCAGTGATCCCTCACCTATTGGGGGGGGGGTTACGTTCCAGAGACCCCAACGGTAGGTCAAAATCCACAAAGTAGGGGCATTATAATTATTTTATTATTTATGTTGGTTTAGGCTTTATAAACCTTTCACATTCTCTTCACACTCAAACACTTTGACGACGATGAGATGAATGTACAGTACTGCACACTATAAAAAAGATTTAAAATACTCACGATACAGTGACGCTGCAAGAAGTGAACCACGATACAGCGAGGGATGACTGTACTTCACTCACTTATTGCTATTTGCAAAGAGTTCATCTGCTGTCTATGAAACATGATTATGTTGGTTTATGTTTCTCTACAGTGCCGAGATGACTTCTGTTGTGACTTGGCGATATCTAAACAAACTGAATTTAATTAAATTTGTGTCAGCTATTTTTATAGTCGTCCATTTCTTAAAAAAACAACCCTTTTTTTTTTTTTTAAAGAATTCTGTGAAATGATCGTAAAGACCAGTCTGTTTCTAAGCTGCTTCTAGCCGTTCCTAATTCTCTGATGGAGTCGGCCACGTCCCGACAGACGTGAGGTTTCAGAAATTGTTTCAAGGGACCATGTAAGGCGTGGAGCGCAGCAAATTAAATGATGTCTGCCTCGTATCGTTTTCAATACGTGATGAATTAACAGTTTGGGGGATTTCTCTGTGGTTCAAGTCAAATTTATCGATAAAGCACATCCAGTCAGATCATACTGTGTTAAATGTCAGTGAATACAGGTGTGTTTTCAGCAGAGATTTAAAAGCAGGGACTGAAGTGGTCTGTCTAATACTGATGGGCAGATTGTTCCAAAGTTTAGTTTAGTTTAAGTTTAGTTTAGTTTAATTTCAACCCAACGTTTATGATGCAGACGTTTAAAGGCATGGCAAATATCACTTTACTGAGCTACGAAGCCGTCTCACCTTTTCATGTGTCGACCGTTTGGGCTCTGTTACTACCTCGCCTGAGGGGTGGGTTGGCTTCATATCACACCGATGCAGCCAGGAGGCATCTACTTCCTGGATTAAAGTGTTTTGTGAACAAACGTTGACTTTGAAGGGTTTAAAGAGTTGCTTAAAGTGTGTTTAAGATTATCCAGTTGTTCAGTGCATTAGTAATTGACTTTTCTGTTCATCAAGAAGCCAGAGAGCCAACAGATCCCAGAAAAATCCCAAACATGCAGATAATTTCACCTCATCTGAACAAGAACTCTCTAAAGGTTTGTTAGCTGTGATGATTGTGACGAGTCCCACCAGCCAAATGTCAAACCCTCTGGCTTGGTCGGACATTTCAATGCTGTTAATTATCGGTCTTGTTTGTTTGGGACATGTTTGGGACATGTATGCCATTTCAAAGCAAAAGTTGTTGTGTAAACAAGATTAACATGCAAATGAATCGTTACCCCCCCAGCATCTTGGTTTGGCTCTCAGAGAGATGTTTTGGTCGTGTGCATGAAGGTGTGAATTATGGGGGAAATGCCGGGGTATCAGGCTTAATGCTCCTGTGTAAGCTTTAGAAAAAACTGGATTTGCTGCGGCCTGTAAGGCTGGGGATCTACACCAGCATGTTTTTCCTGTATTATTTGTCAAATCCCAAATATTAATCTGGTTTTGGTGGTTCTTTGCCTCCGGCCAAACCCAGAGCAGCACCTGTATGGAAACATTAATGAAGTTAAAGCTGAACTAAAGCGTGCCGTCGTCTTTAAAGCTCATCGTAAAGCAGCTGCCCTTGACCCGATTCTGTTGTGATCCGAGTGTGTAGACGGAGGCTGACGCACGTTTGTGTCTCCACTGAAGCTTCTGCTGGAGGTTTCCACTGTGTTCTGGGTTTACAGCCAGTAAAAGATGACCATTGAAATGTACGGTAATAACCTTTTTGCCCTTGGTTGTGTCTGTTCCGGTGTCGTGTTGGCGAAATACCTGATGAACAACCGGAAAGTTTTTATCAAAGCTTTTAGAAAGTGATCCAAAACAAGATGGCCGTCACAGCCAACTGACCCTTGGAAACACAAAGATGGGCCGTGCCTCAGCCAGTTTGACTGGTGAGAGAACATTTGGTGTGGTAGTGGCTGAGAGTCGCTCAACACGTTCTCTGAGCACTAACGCACAAAGTTGGACCAAAATGGCTACAGCTCCAACCGAGGTGACTGTCGATACGCACTGATTGAAGGAATGCTCCGTGTTGGACCTGTGGAGTAGAGATGTGCGATATAAAAGCACGTAAAGGTGTTCCCCTGTGACATCACTTCCTGTTACTGCACATGCAAATATCTCAACGACTGTTCATCCCAGTGGCATGACATTTACTTTGCAATATGTTTTTAATGTCATCTTTCCTAAAATTCATTTTTATGTTTTCGATCAATTTGATCTCGCGTGCACTTTAACTGGTCTACAGTAGAACACAAGCAGACGTGAACTCTGTTCCTCAGAACATTCCTGCTCTTACTGGAAAGTGGGCCCGACCCTTATCTTTAAAGGTCAGGGTGACACTTTTTGCAGCTCTTCCCGTGATGACGGCAGTTCCTGTCACAGCTCTATTTATGTCGACCTCGTGGTTTCTTGGAAGATGAGCTCGGAGCCCAAGTTCTACCTAAATCATCCTGTCCATTGTCTTCTGCTCGCAGCGTGCAGGGTTTAGCTTCTGCTTCTCTTTGTAGGGTTGTTTACTGCACCCTCGCAATAAAAATACTTATTACAAATCTTTAAATGAAAATAAAGTTATCAAATTGCACGGTGCTGCGCTGGTGTAAATGCGACAGAATAAATGATTTGTTTCAGTCCACAGATTCATAAATGCAGTTCAACGTGCTGTAGAGGGAGGCTGGTTTCTTTTCAGCGGTCCTTCCTGTTGCAGATAAGAGACGCTCGGGGAGAGGAGACGTAATCGAACAGAAGTTATTTTTACCGACGAGGCAGGAGTACGATACTTCACCCTGTTGAACTTTCTGCCGTCTGAACTACAGCACTTCCTGAAACGCTTCTGTTTTCTAATTTTCCTTTATACACTTTAACGTAACCAGAACAGTTTGTCCATGAGACGGACAGAAAGTTAAGGTGTCAACTAACTTGGTCAGGGTTGTTCTGAACTAGAGTCTCCTGCGGTGGACAGTTCACACTCCAGTCTTACAGGAGGCCAGAAATGATGTAAATATTTGTTTTTAAAAAAGGAGATTTGTCGTCAGGAGTTTGTTTCCTCGATGTCTGAGTGATAACTTGTCCAAATGTGGATAGCGGCAACTTTTCTCACACATCAACACCTGAAAACAAGCAGGTTCCTCTCTTTGTGCTCGAGTCCTCCTGGTTATCTGTTTCTTGTTGTTTATGGCTCCGCTGTTTGAGTTGGAGGTTTAAGACTTTGGCATGAAGGTCGACGGGCGACATGCATTCCTTCAAGGAGTGCTGGGTCTTAAAATGTGTCCACATCATAAAACATGGGGTACAATAGTTGCACAAAGTCAAAAGTATTTGAAAGTAAGTTACAGAAGGCTAGATTAAAAACTAATGGAACATAAAGCTAGGTAAAACTAGCTAACAGTTATAGCTAAAAGCATGAAGTAGCAGAAGGCTAATTAAAGAATTCAGCATCATGGGATAATTAAAATCTATCTTTATAGGTAAAAGGTGAAGGTTGCAAAAGGCTAGTTGAAAGCTAAAATAATATAAAAAGCTGAAAGTAGCAGAAGGCTGTTGAAAGTATTTCACAGAATGCATTTATAAAATCTATCTAGCTAAAAAAACACAAAGCTATCAGAAAGTAGCAAAAGCCTAAGTGTAAGCAGCGGGCGGCTAGCTGAAAGTAGTGAAAAGACCAAAATGGAACCAGTAGCTGAAGATGGTTTCAAAGAGAAAAATGCTTTTGAAGGAACTGAAGAGATACTTGTGTATTTCTATGAGAGTTATTTGATCAATTTAAATATTTGGAAAAGTAAAGTTTTGGAAAGCAACAGTTCTGGCACCCATCTGCTAAATGAGCCGAACGTTTTGAGTCCCAAATGTCTAAAATGGCACAAAGTGTGAAGATGGAAATGACAGAAAACCTCTGGGAACAATAAAAAAGAGGAAAACAATCATGTGACTGTATTCTGACCATAAAGTCAGGTTGCGTAACGCTGGAGGTTGTGATTAATGAAGGCTTAGTGTTCACTAAATGTTTTTCTGCGGGACTGAAATGGATTTATCTGCGGCTGGACTGAGTTAAATCGAACGAGGTTTCCAACCTGAGGCTGTGTCCGTGTGTTGACTCAGACTCACCTTGTGTCCTCAGATACCTGTCGTCATGTGGGATCCTGATGACGCGAGCCCCTTCCCTGCTCGGACCAGCCATGCCACGCCGGGCCGTCGTGCTCCCGGCGCGCAGCTTCTTCAACTTTACCGACTCTTTCTCCAAGAGGAAGGAGTACTCGGAGAGGCGCATCATCGGGTACGTCCGCTCGCACTGACACTGAACGAGATGCCGAGAGGAGTCGTCTATGTCAGTCACACCAGAGTCTTTCATTGACCTCCTTTTTAATCAGGATTTTACTACCAACTCTTATCAAAGAGCCAGCTGTGACCATGGTCACATTATTCATTCATTCATGCCAGCTCATAACATGTAAGATCGTACGTACTGTACAAACTCCGTTTGTATGTACGATCGAACCGTTATCCAAGGAGGGCACCCCGCCCTGTCAACAGAAGCAAGCGCTTTGCTTACCGAAACGTTCATGGCCCACATCTCCACCCTGTAGCACTAAGCTAGTGCACAACACAGATGTCTCACTCCTTTTTATCTTGTTTTCCTGTTCTCCCTTTTTAAACTCTATTACTTTACTCGTGTATGTTGATGCTTGATTGTACATGGTACGATGACGATAAAAGGTCTTTCTTTTTCTTTTAGAACTTTAAAAGGAGTTTACAAGTAGAGATTTTTAAACTCGGCTGGTTCCATTGTGAAGCAGTGTCTGTAGAATATCCAGAAAAACAGCTTCTGCTCACAGTAAATAGAAACGTTCCTGCCTGCAGATCATTTCCAGGCGCAGCGTGCCCTTTAATGAGCGACAGAAGTTTTAGGAAAGAAACTGTGGCTTGGCTCTGAACAACACCAACAACGAACACAGTATGGTCACAGCGAGTTGTACACAAGAACCTTCTTATCACTTATCCACATGGAGTCTTTAAAATGTCTGGCAGCACTCGTCCAGATGAAGTAGCCAACACTTGGGGTTGAAATAAACCGTAGTGTTCCACTGCTGGATGACAAAAAGTCCACTTTACTGCCCTCTGAAGTTTGGCAGCGACAGAAAGGTAAATACTGAGGGGACGTTCAGAGTCACACTGGTTTGTCCTTTCAGTCACGTATGGGTGAGGTACTGAATGTCCTCCCGAGTCCCACAGGGAGGTCACGATCACTAAATCTGCAGGTATAAATAGACGCAGGAGGTGGCAGCTCTTTGCACTCAGCTGGAGATGAACACTTGAGCTCAGAACACACTGCCTGTTTGTATTCTTGTTGCTCTTTGTGTTCTTGTTTTCTGTGTCCTCGCGCTCCTCTGACGTCATTCAGGCTTTTCCAACCCACGAGCCGTGTCCTTGTTTAACGTTGTGCCACATGTCTCCCGGTCGCTGACCTTTCGTTGACGCTCCCCTGTCTTGCAGGTACTCCATGCAGGAGATCTATGACGTGGTAGCGTGCGTGGAAAACTACTGCCTCTTTGTTCCCTGGTGCAAAAAGTCGGACCTGGTGTTCAAACGCTCTGGTTTCTGCAAGGCCAAACTGACCGTGGGCTTCCCCCCTGTGGTGGAGAACTACACGTCCCTGGTCACGACAGTACGACCTCACCTGGTCAAGGTAACGAACTGCTTCCAGCTCCCTGAGTGAGGCACAGGAAATACTCTGTTCTTAGGCCTTCTTGTCCTCTAGCAGGCCAGTGCTGGGAATAATTTAGGGGCAAGTGGACTCTAGACAGCTTCGGGTACAGACAAAACTACTAAATGTGATTAGTAAGTTTGTTTTAACAAGTACAAATCTTTTCATCATAAGTACAGACGTGAACCTGTGTCAGGTGTACAACCTCAATTTAAACAACGCTGGGACATTGTGTCAACTCCTGAACCCCCATTTTATTCCCAACGGAACGCCTCAAACCTGAAACTGAGTAACGGTTCTGGTTGTTGGAGGTTTTACAGGACCTGACGAGTGTTTGAATGAGATGTAAAGCTCTGATCGGTCTCTGCAGATTCAGATGGTCTGTGGAGAGATGTGGAGTGCGTGTTGGAGGGAACAAGGGCACAGATTGTGAGTTTTGAGTATTTTCATTAGATAGAAGCTTTATACTGTAAGTACAGTCCATTTACCAGCGTATTGGTTAAAATGCTCCTCGAGCTCTTCGTACCACTTCATTGTACGTACAGTGGTTCTTGAAAGTATGTGAAGGATTATCAATAATCTGAAGGTGAAATTAGAGTCAGGTGTTTTCAATCAATGATGATGATCAGGTGTGAGTGATCACCTGTTGGATCTAAAGAACAGGATCGATCAAAGTCTGATCTTCACAACACGTTTGTGGATCATGGCAGGAACAAAGGAGATGTATGAGGAGCTCAGCAAAAGAGTTGTTGATGCTCATCAGGCTGGAGAAGGTCACAAAACATCTGTAAAGAGTTCAGATTGTGTAGGAGAACATTCAAGTTCCCTCCCCAGGAGTGGTGGACCAACAAAGATCACTCCAAGAGCAAGGCGTGGAATAGTGATGAGGTCACACAGGACCCCAGGGTTCTAACAACTGAAGGTGTGGGGGGAGCCACATCTGGAACCACACCAGATACTGAAAGCAGAGGTTCACATACTTTTGCCACTCAGAACATGGAATACTGGATCATCTTCTTCAGTTAATAAATGACGAGTGTAATATTCAGTCTCATTTGTTTAACTGGGCTGAAGTTAAAAATCCTCTTTATTTTGATACAACTTCATGTTGTTTGAGCTTTTTGTTCCTCTGGCTGAGAAGAGATTAGTCAGAACTCGCTCCCATCACAAAGTCTTGCCACACTCACGTGTTAAACAGAAAGCTTGGTGGAGATGACGAGGACTTCAATTATTTCAACAAGAAGCACATTTTCCAACTGAAAGTGCTGAGTCACACATTTACGCAACACCGGAAAAAACCTGCTGGAAACAAAACAACAGAGTTCTGTCACGTCATCGTGGATCAGCTTCTAGCCCAAACTGCCCGTGAGCTGGCCAGATGTGTAGAGAACGAGTTTCTGACCGAACAGACGCACGAACGGTTCAAGTAGTGAGCTGAAGGCTAAATGATGAACACCAGCTGTGGAGGGCAGTCGCTTCTGTGAAGACGTTTTCAACAGTTGCAAGGATGTAATCTGTTTTTCATTTAAATTCATCCATCCATGAGACGGAGCTTCATCCATCCATCCATCCATCCATCCATCCATCCATCATCAGGTCTCAGGGGCAGCATCTTGAGCAGGGAGGTCCACACATCTCTCTCCACAGCCTCTTCCAGATCTTCTGGGAGGACACCAGGGTGTTCCCAGACCAACAGAGAGACATAGTCTCTCCAGTGTGTCCTGGGTCTTCCTCGGGGTCTCCTCCCAGTCGGACATGCCCAAAGCACCTCCCTAGGGAGGCGCCCAGGGAGCATCTTTAACCAGATGAACCTCCTCAACTGGCTCCTCTGGATGTGGAGGAGCAGTGGTTCTACTCTGAGTCTCTCCTGATCACTGAACTTCTTCCCCTGTCTCTCAGGGAGAGTCCAGCTCCTGCAGAGGAAACTCATTTCAACCTCCTGGATCCACGATCTCATTCTTTCAGTCTCTACCAGAGTTCATGACCAGAGGTGAGGGGAGGAACGTAGACCGACCAGTAAACAGAGAACTTTGTCTTACAGCTCTGCTCCTTCTTCACCACAATGGACCGGCACAGAGTCCACAATACTGCAGATGCTGCACCAATCCATCTGTCAGTCTCACGCTCCATTCTTCTCTCACTCGTGAACAAAACCTGGAGATACTTGAACTCCTCCACTTGAGGCAGAACCTCACCCTCGACCTGAAGAGAACAATCCACCCTTTTCTGACAGAGGACCGTGGGCTCAGATCTGGAGGAGCTGATCTCATCTCAGCTGCTTCTCACTCTACTGTGAACCGCTCCAGTGAGAGCTGAAGATCACGGCATGATGACGCCAACAGGACCACATCATCTGCAAAGAGCAGAAAACTTCTTTTTTTTTTTTATTCCTGTAAATTTAAATTCTGTTTCTCTTTTTGCCTCTTCATATGAACGGTGGACACATGACTGCAGTCTCTGTAAACATTCTCTTGTCCGGACCATGACTTCTGGTCCGCTCGAGATCATTTAATGAAACTCCACACACAGATGCATCCTCACTAGGTGGAGGGTCCCGTACCGTTTGATCACCCCAGCTCCAAGGTCAAGGTCACACATCAAGCTCAGATGTAGATTGTTGTTTCCAGGCGTATGAAGTGCCGTCTGCAGTGTTCTTGTTCCGTTTGGTCTTTATGATGTTCAGGTTTAGATCAACAGGAAGATAACTTTGTGAAGGACACGGTGACCTTGCTGTGTGTTTTCAGGCGTCCTGTTCGGATGGGAAGCTCTTCAACCACCTGGAGACGGTCTGGCGCTTCAGCCCGGGCCTCCCTGGTTACCCTCGAACCTGCACCGTGGACTTCGCTGTGAGTAGTTTACCAGCAGCAGCGTGACTGTGCAGTTCGTGTCCTCGCCTGAGATCATGTGTCGGTCCTGGACGTGTCTCGGCTTGGCAGTCCTCCTACATGTACGGTCTAACTTTGTCTCTGTCCCCGTCCTCAGATCTCCTTCGAGTTCCGCTATCTTATTCACTCTCAACTCTCTCACATCTTCTTCGACGAGGTGGTGAAGCAGATGGTTTCTGCGTTCGAGCGCCGCGCCTCCAAGGTCCACGGGGCCGAGACGCCCATCCCCCGGGAGCTCATGTTTCACGAGGTCCACCACACGTAGCGCCGGCCTGGACCCAGCAGCACCAACACAAACGAGTCAACACGAATGCCAAAGAGACAGAAGACCCTCCTGTGCTCAGAGTGAAAACTGCAGTGCCTTTCCCACAACGATGAAAGTTTTCAAAGCCGATCCATCGGCCGATTGTCGCCTCGGTGCTGAACCCAGGGTCAGACCCCCGTCTGCACCTGGACCTGGACCCGTCTGTTTGTCGTCTCGTCCGTAAACCGCAGTCAGCCGTGAAGCAGAGCTGACCAACGATGTGCACGACTCGGATTGTTGGAATATTTGCACAAAGATTCTGAAATTGAAAGAGTCCAAACGTCTGCTGTCATGTGTGACGGAGCTTCAGAGAGTCCAGCTGAAACCAGAAAATGGGAAGTTTTTAAAAACGCTAAATGTTTTATATTTACTAACAAACTTTGTAAAGTTTTAGTCAAATGTGGGAGAACATTTTCTGGTTCCAGGGAGGATCTGATGCTCGTCTTTGCTGAATTGCCCCGGTTGTTGGAAGAAGTTGAGGGCAACTTTTTTCGGGGCATTTGTATCTTTTTTTTAGGGGAAGTAGGATCAGTTTTTATTTTCTTCACTGACAAACCTTTTTCTAATCTCTGGCTCTATTTATGTCTGGAGTTTTAAAAGTATAAATCTTGAAACCTTTGATGGTAAGAGGAGCGTGGCGCCCTGTTGTAACTAATGTGATCTCAGGAGGTTTGTAAAGTAGAAGATGAAATATAATTAATCTTGAAAACAATCAAAACAAACTGATCCGTAGCTGAGGTCCCGCTCAGGTTCAGCTGACCCCCCCCAGGTCCCGCTCAGGTTCAGCTGACCCCCCCCCCCCCGGGTCACATCAGGCTCTGTCTGTTTACAGGAAGAGGAGCGTTCAGAGCCCCCTACGGCTAACGGGGAAAGTAACATTTCAGGTCGTAAGAATAATCTCAGTTTATCCTTATTCATGCTCAGTAATCCAGGTAGAAATATCCAACGGTCAGGTCAGGTCAGGTCCTCTGGACGGATTAAAAAAATGAAATTGTTGAAACGTTTTGTCTTTAGCAATAACAACAGTGTAAGAGGTTGTTATTAACTAACTAGCTAGTTAATAACTAGCAATAACAGCATTGTGAGAGGGGGACACTTGGACATGGAGGTCCAACTTTCTCTTCACAGAGAACCCGTCCATCATTAAAAAGGGGCGGAGCCTCTGTGTCCAACTGTCCCCCTCTTATAATGCTGTTATTGCTAGTATCAGTCAGCCCTCTGAATAACAAGCAGCCATCAGGGCACTTCCGATTGGTCATTAGTCTGATGGTCCTCCATCGTATGAACAGCTGGTTCTGGGTGTCAACAACAAACTGGTTGATCCACCATGAGAAGGTGCTGTTTATAAGACTGAGTTTGTTGCAGCTCCTCAGACTGAAGAAGTCCTCTGGATAAAAGACTAAACGTTTCAACAAAGAAGACTCCGTCCAGAGGACCTGACTTAACGTTAAATCTCAGTTGGTCTGATTTTCTCTCGGCGTTCTGTCTGAGAGCTGAAGATCTTCGTTTGGGTTCAGTAACGTCCAGATGTTGGACGACTTCCTTTCAGGGAGGACGTCTACAGAATTCAAACTTCACGTAAAAAGAGACGAACGTTGGATTTGTTCGTGTCTGGTGGCGTTCAGGCGACAGCCTCACAAACGACACGTTGCACCTGCTGCACAGAGACCTCAGATTTTATTTAGTTTCACCCGTGACCCCTGGAGGGGGCTCCGGGTGTCCCATCAGAAACACCCCCCATGTAAAAACGGTGCTGAACGGTTAACCTGCTCCACGTCTCCGGATCCTCCTGGTCCTCATCTCTTGGATCGTGTGACATGGGCTGTTTGTTTTTCTTTGTTTTAAGAGTAAATATCTATAATATGTATAAAAATAAATGCAGCAAGGCAGGCAGGTCCCCCCCCCCCCGTGTTGTCAGGGTCCAAACCAGCTGCTGGTCAGACTCTATGGGTCCGTGTTTATTGAGCTTCTAAGAGTTAACTCTTTTCTTACAAAGGTCAGCCTTGTAGCGTGCACGTCCTTCATTTGTCGGCAGCAACACAGACGTTCAGAACCGGCTGCGCGGGTCCGACTGGACCGAGCACGATTCTGGACTGTCTGCAGACCGCCCGACTGCAGCACGGTCTCTGTTGCTCGTCAACAGATCAGTGAATGCACGCAGAGCGGCAGTGATGTCACGGCAGCGTGTAGCCACGGGGGATTGTTGTTGTCATGGGTCGTGCCTGAATGTTCCCAAACAAGAACCGAGCGCTCCCCGTGGCCCAGCAGCTGCCGTGGAGGCTGACAGAACCACGACGGTCTGAGGGGTTGCTCTCAGAAGTGGCAGGTTTTTGTGTTTCCAGCAGCCGGAACTTGTTTTAAAAAGCACGGCTCGTGCACGTCTTGGCAGTAAATATGATTTTGTTGCAGCTGCCCCTCGTTTACGATGTAATCTACTGGAGTACACTTTCGAAACGAACACGTAGATTCAGGTGTTTGGTCTTCTCTGATGTTTTCTGGTAGGAGGCTTCGAGACGCCTGCAGAGACTCTGACGGACTCCACGTCACCTCTGACTCGCGCCCGGCGAACGTTTGAGACGTTCTGCAGTGAACGATAGAAAAACAATGAAACTGATGCAAGCAGCAGATTCAGTACGGTGCTTTTCTTTCAAGTGTTTGTAAATCTGCCTGATTTGATGTTTGAAAATCCAAGATGGCCGCCAAAATGAGCGCAGTAATCAAATGTTAATGCGGTTGATCAATTTAAATGATCTGTGTGTCACTTTATAAGTTTTCTTCTGTCAGTAGCCTTGTACTCTGCAAGTAACACATATCAGTAAATTAATATAATAAACTAGAGAAATGAATTTTCTATGAAAAGTTTTAACTGAACACGTCGTGCTGAATGATTTCTGCTGAAACCAGCTGAAATTTTAATGAGGTGAATTTTAACAGCTGTCATTTGATGAAAGCAGGGAAATAAAAGTATATATATATATTTTTTAATGTGAAATTAGCAACAACATAAAGAATGAAAATGAGCAGTAAAAAAGCTGAAATTGGAAAAAGATGAGCTGAAATGAGCAGTTCAGGGTTTCAAACAGCTGAAGGGTTTGAAGGAAGTGGAGAGCTCCATTTTCAATGGGAACAACATGGCCGACAAAGCTAACCATTTCAAAAAGTAAAGAATGCACAAAATCCAGGTCACAGCTGGAATGAGCTGAAGGTTTTGATGTATGAGTTGTTGGTTTAGAACAAGCGTTGCTGAACGAGTCGCGTGCTGAAAAACGGGTTTAGAACCGTTGAGGCCATCTTTGATTTCTGGACGGGTGGAAATGTTCAGAAGACTGTGGAACAACCACACATCTGCTGCTTGCATCACGTTCTTGTGCAGAAGTGGGTTTAGCTGCTTCACTGCGAGTCTGAGGAGAAGTTTCTGTAAAAATCCTGAAGTTTTCCTCATCCAGGTCTAAACTAAACTCTGAGGGAAATCCTCCAGAGTCACCTGAACAGGCTGCGATCTTTATTTGGCAACGTTGCAGTTCTAAAGATCAGATCTTTAAAACCGTTGATTTCTGTTAAATCTTATGAGTTTGATAAACGAGGACCCAGATCTCCTGAAACTGTCCAAACGTCCTCCGTTCCACCACTTCCTGCCTGCTGGCAGCGCGTCTATCTCTCATGTCAGAGCGACTTTATACTCCTTTTATTCGTATTTATTTTTTAGTTAAACGCACGAGAAGCAGCTGGTTAAACTTTACAAGCAGATTAACGAACATTTCATCATAAAACACACTGAAAGGTAGTTTTGCTTGATTTATTTTGATCTGACGAGCTGCAGTTTGACCGATTGTAAGCGTGAACTCGGGCAGCTTTTCGTGTCGGCGTGTAAATATTCGTTTGTCGTTCCATCTAAAGAAGCTGTAGTCTGCTTTTAGAGGAGTGAAAATGTTTCAGTGTTCTCTGGGCTGTGTGTAAATGTTGAGTGACGTTCCAGCTGCATGATGTATAAACTATTTTTTCTATAAAACAACAACAACCTGATTTCTCTGTTGCTTTCTTCGGCTGATGCTCCGAACGCTCGCTCGGGTTTGGAAAGGCCTCGTCAAAAAGAGGTCAAAGGTTAGTTTGGAGCCTTCCTGAAGCACCCAAATGTTTCAGCTCATGATTAAATACACCTGATCAAAGTTTAATGGCTCAAATGTTTGACCCAAAGGCAGCAGGAGGGTTAAAGACTTTGATTTATACCCACTGAAATACACTAAAGATCCGGTTTTTAGGTCGAAAAGCAAGTGAGACACCTAGTAGACATTTTGGTAGATGCTACCTGCCAACACAGCAGCATAAAGTCAGTGGGTCTCAACCATGGTCCTTGAGGAACACCGTCCTGCAGTTGGTCGTTTCCCTGCTTTGACACCTGGTTTGAATGCACGGGTGATTAGGCTTCTGCAGAACTTGAGGTAATTAAATCACTGGATCAGGTGTGTTGGAGCAGGGAGCTTACTAATAATGTTATGAACAAATTTGACTGCCTTTTAACAAATAACACTTATATTGGACATGGAAACTGAAAATAATTACACAACACTAATTTTAGACACAACTGCCACTTACAAGCTTCTTCTCACATCAGAGCTGCCCCTTCAAGTAAGCATTTCTGCTTCTACCCTTAAAAATCTCCGCCCCCAAAAGTTCAGTCATGGGCAATTTAATTAAAAAACAAACACAATTAAACAGCATAACTAATAAATTGCAGATGGGTTAGATGGGATGTTTGAGAGAAGTGGTGTGCTCTATTCACACAGGGAGCACTGTCGGTCAGGCTACTTGGTGCTTTCTAATAAATATTAAATCAGTTTACAAATGTAGATGTTCAACCTGTTAAAATACATCAGAGTGCAGGAAATGGCATCTACTTTATTCAACATTTTCTGGGGGAGGACCCCAAAACACCTCCCACAATATTTGCGTTCCGGCATCGTTTGGTTTACAGATTAAGCTCTGCTCGGTACCAACTAAAAATATCCACTTTGCCAGATGCATCATAATTTTGCCCGCTGTAGAAAAAGACAAAAATCCACGTACAACTGCATCAAAACATGGTTCAGTTAATGACCAGACAAAAGATGTTCTTATAAAACCAGGTGACGTAGAACGTCTACAGGTAAAAACATGCAACAAACTGTGCTCATAAAGAGGATTGTGACTTAAAATGCAAATTAGGAGAGAATTTATTAGAAAATACAACAATTTTAAGCTGCTGCTGCGATACGTGACATTTTCTTAGCCTTTAGTTTTTAAAATATATTTTATGGTTAAACTACAGAACCGGTTAAAAACCACTAAGGAAATAAAAACTAAGAGTTACCGTTATAAATTAAAATGATCTGCAAACAAATCGTTTCATCACTGATCGTTTTTCCAGCACGCTTGTCTAAATGTTTTGGCTCAACTGTGTGGGCGCCCGTTAGCAAAATATCTTGTGAACCACTGGATGAAGACTCATGTTTAGGGACAGTAGGCTTTTAATTTGAAGGATTGTTTAAGCAAGGCTGAAAATAAACGTTAGGACTTGATGACTGAAGTATATAAAGAAGTTAAATTAACTTGAAAGTAGAACTTTAGATTACATGAACAAAAATCAGTTCTGCCACAGCCGCCGCAGCGTGCAACCATCCAGGCGCTCAGTTCAGACTAATAAAAGTCCCAGTCTGTAAGAAAACAGGTTTAATTCAAATCACTGCCGACAAACACAAATATTAAAAAAGAATTAACAGAAAACTAGAAACAAAGACGGACACTGAAGGCTCTCTGGTCCACTAAAGGAACGCTTCGGTTTCTTTCAGCCGGGTACGTTCTCTCTGCAGATTTATGTTTACAGACGCACGCAGCTCGTATCATCACGAACGCACCGGGCTGAAACAAACCGGACCTCCTTCAGGCGAACCCCGCCCCTCTGGCATGATGAGTGTTTGGATTCTGACGTTCCGGTCCGGCTCGCTCTTCTCCTTCGAGCCGTTTGGATCAAATGTAATTTATGGTCAATTGTAGAGGGAGGCGTCCCCGCTCCGATCTCATGACTCAGTCTGTACAGTCAGGAGGACGGGCTCAGAAACCCATGCCGCCTCCCATTCCTCCCATCCCCCCCATGCCTCCCATCCCTCCTGGCATCTCCTTCTCCTCCTTGGGCAGCTCCGTGACCACGGCCTCGGCAGTGGACAGCAAAGACGCGACTCCTGCAGCATCCAAGAGCGCCGTCCTCACCACCTGCGGGGGAAGCAGGAAGTTAGCTCCTCTGATCGGCTGGACTTTTAACTGCAGCCGCCTCCACCCGACTTTACCTTGGTGGGGTCGATGATGCCCTTCTCCACCATGTCGACGAACTCCCCCTGCATGGCGTCGTAGCCCATCTCAGACGGCCCCTGCAGGATCTTCTCCACCACCAGAGAACCCTCCACGCCGGCGTTCTTGGCGATGGTCATGGCGGGAATACGGAGCGCCCGCCTGATGATGTCCACACCTGAGCAGGAAGCACATGCACGCAGCAATGAAATCACCGTGCACAGCCCAACGCCTACGTTACAGCTGGTATACACGATCCTACAGTCATCTGGTGGTAATTATTGATTATTAGAGAAAGTGAAGCAGCAGAAATGAGTCTCGGTCTGTCGGCTCTCTGCGATCCGGACCACCTGCGAGCGCTTTAGGACAGAGGCCCACAGCGGAGCCACTGCGGGGTCAGGACCGGACCTGTGGGACTGGTGCTTGCACCTCTCTCTGCTCACCGTACACCAGGCAGCACCACCCTCCCTGCTCTGATGAACGGGCTCCATTTGTCGACAGCAGCTCGTTTATGATAAAATCCGTTGCGGTCAATAAAATAACGGAAGTTCGTCGTGGCAACAGATCCTGATCCGTGCTGAATCAGCTCACCTATTTTCTGGTCGCTGTTGGCGGTTTTGATGTTGTCGAGCGAGGGGATGCAGCGCAGCAGAGCACAGCCCCCACCGAGCACGATGCCCTCCTCCACAGCTGCTCGCGTGGCGTTCAGGGCGTCCGTCACACGGTCCTTCTTCTCGTTCACCTCGACGTCGCTCGTTCCTCCCACCTGTAAACAGCAGATGTCACAACTTGGCCGCTCCTGCAGGAAAGTGGCCGCCGGCGAGTCAGACCTTGAGCACGGCCACGCCGTCCGACAGCTTGGCCAGCCTCTCGTTGAGCTTCTCCTTCTCGTAGTCGCTGGTGGTGTTCTCCAGCTGCTCGGCGATCTCCGCGGCTCGTTTCTCCACGTCGGCTGGGTTGCCACCGCCCTTCAGCAGCAGGGTGTCATCTTTGGTGATCTGCACCTCGCCAACTTTGCCAAAGTCGTGGGCCTGAATGTCCTCGAGAGCCAGACCCAGAGCTTCGTCCCCAAACACCTACGGAGAAAACACGAGATCATTAAAGACGACTCCAGACAGCAGGAACACGTTGGAGGCTGAAGACTGAACCAACCGTGCCCCCGGTGGCGATGGCCATGTCCTTCAGCTGGTTCTTCCTGTTGTCACCGAAGCCTGGAGCTTTGACCGCGACCACCTGAAGCCCGACCTTCAACCTGAAAACAGCCACTCCGTTAATTCCTGTTCCCTGACGAGGAGCGCGGCTGCACCTGGCCGCACTCAGACGCACCTGTTGAGCACCAGCGTGCTCAGAGCTTCTCCGTCCACATCCTCTGCTACAATGACCAGCGGTTTGCGGTGCTGGTTGGCGATCTCCAGGGCCGGCACGATGCTCTGAACACTGGAGATCTTCTTCTCGCTGAGCAGCAGGTACGCATCCTGGAACTCACACTTCTGACCTGAGGGCGAGAAAATAAAAGTTGACGCCAAAATACAACGGACGTCGACGTCGTGTGATCGGAGCGCCCCTCACCTTTAGCGGCGTTGATGAAGTACGGCGAGATGTAACCGCGGTCGAACTTCATGCCTTCGATGAGCTCCAGCTCGTCCTGCAGCGTCTTCCCATCCTTGAGTAAAGACACGTTGAACGTTGCTCAGTTCGACCGTTTCACGTTCATTAAAGAAATCAACGGTTTTTATTCCTCAGACAAACCTTGACTGTGATGACTCCTTTGCGGCCAACTTTCTTCATCGCGTTGGAAATGATGTTGCCGATCTCTACGTCTCCATTGGCTGAGATTGTAGCAACCTGAAACCATTTCACAGATCAGACCAGACCCTTTCAGGCACTAGAGGGCAGCAGGAACCAGTAAACTCAAACCTGTGCGATCTCCTCGGGGGTGGTGACGGGCTTGGAGAGCTTCTTCAGCTCATCGATGACTGTTTCCACAGCCATCATGACGCCGCGGCGTATCTCCACGGGGTTGGCACCTTTGCTGATGTTATCAAAGCCCTCCTTGGCGATGGCGCGAGCCAGAACTGTGGCGGTGGTGGTGCCGTCACCGGCCTCCTCGTTGGTGTTGTTGGCCACGTCCTGCACCAGCTTGGCTCCGATGTTCTTGTACCGGTCCTTCAGGTCGATGCTCTTGGCCACAGTTACGCCGTCCTTCGTGACCTTGGGGCTGCCCCAGCTCTGCTCGATGATCACCGTGCGACCCTGAAACCCAGAAGGATGAAACGGTAAAACAAACAGTTCTGGCCCCACTTTAGAAAACAGCGAAGCAGACTCAGGTGCGTTACCTTCGGGCCCATCGTGACAGCCACAGCATCGGCCAACAGGTCCACCCCCTGCAGCATGAGGGCTCGAGCGTCGGCGCCAAACTTCACGTCCTTGGCGTAGGCCCGTGTGAGGTGAGGAGCCAGAGCCCGGCTCACGGGCCTCACCTGCTTCATGATGCTGGCTAAACGGAACATCTCTGAAAAGAAACGACCTCCATGAAGAGCAGCAAACTTAAATCCAACCTCTCAAAATGTTTGACACGTTTAATGGCAGAACTTATTAAAGCTTCGTGTCTTTATCCTCTAGCCGGACATTATTCTTTCAACAAGTGTTTTTATTGCCCCTAACTTGAAGCTAACTTTTTGTTTCTTTAGCAGCTAGCATTTTGCTACTTTCGGCCAGCATCTTTCAGCTTTTAGCTGGTTTCGGCCATCGTTTTGCTGCCTTCAACCGCTTTTTGCCTTTTGAGTAGCCAACCTTTCTCATGGGATTTACCATTTTGCTTCTTTTAGCTGGAGTTCCTAGAGTTTTACCTTTTGACAGCAAAAAATATTGAGCTACAGCTGTTTCTGAATCCAAGCATTTAGTGCATTCTTCTTTAACAATCCCAACTTCAAGTCCTGTAATATTAAAATAGGGAAACATAATAATGACTAAACAGATTCACCTTAAATGTCATTTTATCCAAAATACTTGTGCGTTGATTAGGTTTAATTTAACGGGTCTGAGGTGAACTTGTACAAGTTTAAATGATTTTATAATTTCTGGCATCGTTTTCTTCTTCGTGTTAAAGTTATGGAGCTCTTCTCTCCGGCCTCCAATGAAGTTTATTTAAATAAACTTTAAAACGGAATGTTCAACCTGTGGACGCTCTGGTTCCCCACGTGCTGCCTGTACGCGTGCGTCACAAGGTCAAAGGAAGCACGCGCGGATCTGCCTCTGCATCCCCTGCACGCGCTCTTACAGGGTACCTGCCGACACGTACATGCGGGACAAAGCGAACCCGTCCGCTCCCAGACACTCGCGGGGACAGTGAATGAGCGTGTACTAACGCGCACAGCCATCTTGACGAGCACGTCCTTGCAGCGTGGAGGAGCAGCGACGCTCAAACTCAGCAGCTAACCTCCTCACGGCACAAACTAGCTTAAATCAAATGTGCTCACGTGTAATAGCACGGGCGGAAATCACCTGCCTGATAAAAGCCCGCGTGCGCGTCTGAAGACTTGAAATAAACCGCTCGTGCTTACCTGGAAGGTGAAAAAGCTGAAAGCTTCTCAGACGGTGAGGACTGGACGGGAGGACGAGTCGTGTGGAACTGCAGAGACAAGACTGCACGTGGTCTACTACATCCGGGTTATGTACCGGTCTGCCCCGAACTCTGTATAAAACTGTTCTACTCTAATCTGAGCGTTATTCAATGACATTTACAGGAGTCTGTTTACATATATTATCTTGGAATAATATTTTTAGCCCAAGTCTTTGTTTTAGTGTTTATTTAATTGTTTATGACAAGTTGTATGATAATGTACAATGCCTATGCTCGTTCCCGGGCGGGCGATTCTAGAATTTTCTTGCGTGCCATTGGAGAAAAAAAGAAAGGTCAAAGTGGAAATTGTGTAATATTGCTCACTCTCAGATTGCGTCATTTCAGTTAAATAAATTTTTAAAGCGTTTCAAAATTAACGTCAAGGCATTTTAAATTTAGTAAGTCAAGTGCACATTTACAAAAAGAGAGTTTTGCAGTTTTTTTTCCCGGATGCGTCTAGAACTTTCCGCCGGGAGCAGATACTGCGCATGCGCATTTCTGGATTGTTCCCTCACGTGGAGTGTGTGCCTTCCTTTCAGATCCTCGCGCACGAACTGTGTTGCAGCTCCACGTCGGCTCTCAAACATTCAGAAATATGGTAAGAATCAACATTTAAAGACTGCAGTTGTCGTCGCTAAATGCACGGAGTCTTAACAGGAAATCAGAGAATTATTTCCGGTTTAAGTCTTTATTTTCATGTGACCACAGCTAACGTGCGTAAGCTAGGATCCACAAGGTCACGCTGCTGAGGAGTGCAGTGAGAAAACCGGTCTTGTCTTAATGAAAGCAGAAACGTAAAGCTTACTAAAAAAAACAAGGTTATTAAGTTACTGTGGCTGGGAAAGTAATAACCGTTGAGATGTCTGCGCTCACGTTTAAATTTAAAAAGTTTATGCGGGAATGTCTGGGGATCGAACTCACGAGCTTCAGCATGAAAATGTGCAGTTCACCGTTCCCTCACTGCATCACTTTTATAAATGTCGTTCCCTCACCGCATCACTTATAAATGTCGTTGGACAAGGCTTGAAAAAACCTTCCAGTGCTACAGAGCTGCACAGGCCTAATAATGATGGTAGAGGTAGGGCGGCTGGCTTTGGGACCAGAAAGTCGCAGGTTCAATTCCCGGCCATGTCTTGGTGTCCTTGAACAAAACGCCTAATCCCTAACTGTTCCCTGGTGCTTACACAGCTGTCCACTGCTCCACCTGGGCGCATCAGGAGTCATGGGTTAAATGCAGAGAACTAATTTCATCTTTGTTAAATATTTCTAATTAGAACCCTGAGTAATTGTAGATTTATATTAAAAACATGGATAATGGATATTAAAAAGTACAATTTGTGACATTCCAAATACAAATGAATTATGATTTCAGGGCAGCACGGTGGCGCAGTTGGTAGAGCTGTTGCCTCTCAGCAAGAAGGTGGCAGGCTCAACTCTCGGCTGATGGTCTGTCTTGGTGCAGTTTGCATGTTCTCTCCGTGCCGTGTGGGGTTTCTCCGGGTACTCCAGTTTCCTCCCACAGACAAAAACACGCATCTTAGGCTGACTGGTAACTTTAAATTGTCTCTAGGTGAGAGAGTGAATGGTTGTTTGTCTCATTTGTCCCTGTGATGCACTGGAGACCTGTCCAGGTGTCCCCTGCCTCTCGCAGTCACTGCTGGACATGGACACCAGTGACTCCCACAACCAGAAAGACAGACAGGTAAAAAAAAAAATCGGATAATAAACCCAAAGAGCAACATTCTAGTTGTTCTAGGAACCTCTTCTGCAGAAGTGTCACTTTATTCATGAAAAATCGAAGTAACGAGCTCAAACGTACCAAACTGAACATGCTTTTTTTTATGCAACCACTTTTATAGAAACAGTTTCCAGAGCTGAATTCCAAAACGAGGCCAAAGTTGAGCCAATTAAAGAGAATTTCCACTATTTTCTCGGGATAAACCTCAGGTTGATGAACACCGAGACAAACACACCTAGGGACAGTTACGAGTCACCAATTAACATTCATGGTTTTGCTGTGTGGAAAGAAAACGGGGTACTCTGAAAATGTGCACAGGAAGAACAGCTGGTTTTGAACCTGCAACCTTTTTGCTGCGAGTCTACCTGCTGCTCCACCTTGAACTTCAAATTAAATTTATCGCAGCTCTAAAGTTAAGTCGTACTGTTTGATAATTATTTACACTTTGTTACTTTGCAGCTGGATTTCTCGGAGTAACTGTGAATATTTGACTCAACTAGTTATGAAGTCATAGCTGT